TAGTTTTCAGAAAGTTACATCTTACAAACTCTTTGACATTTACTTCACAATTTACAAGTGGTTTTGCTATACAGAAATAAAATGATGTACCGGTGCACACACATTGATGTACACAAAACATGGCTCCCATTCGTTCTTCATCCCCACACGCACACAAAAGAAGAGTCAGATATAATAGCTAGCTCAGTTTGTTTGTACCATATGGGTCCCCTCAACTGGTCCTGTTCATCTTGCAGTGGTGGTCGACTCTGGTGTCAGCAGTGAATATCTTACGTGCATCTTATAGGTGTAAAATCCACAGTTTTTAAGGTAACAGCAATCAGGCATTTGACAATGACCACAGGTAGAAAAGGTGAGTTTCTGCGTCAAGATAAATAATGGAAAATTTCTGAGGGCTATGATGTTGTTATGATTTCTACACTGTTCAGTTTGTTGGGAGTTGGCTCATGTTACGTTACAATATGTTACGTTAGTTAACATGCGATGGCGGATAAACAGCAGCATAGTTTTTTTGGACGCATTAAACTCACGTCATTATTAATTCACTCCATACACGGTGGTGATAAACTACTACTGTAGCCACAGCTGCCCTGGGGCACACTGACAGAAGCGAGGCAATCAGTCTGTGTCATTAGCCCCTCCGACCACCTCCAACCATTCACACACACACCAGACTCATTCTAGGCAATGGGGGTGAAGTGTCTTGCCTAAGGACACAACGGCAGTTTGGCACTTTACACCCGCAGCCACCCCACTGTGGCATCTGATGTTCCCAGAGGTTAAGTGTCTTGCCAAGGACACAACGACAGCAGACAGTGGGAGTCGATGGTGAAAGGCTTGAGGTGGGCTCGAACCCATGACCTTCTGGCTCAAAGACCAATGCTCTACCAACTGAGCTGCTGTCGCCCTAAAAGACTTGGTCAATGGCACTCTAAATCCTATGTTAAAATAGTTTAGTTCACATTAGCTGTAACTGCAACTGTAGCACTTGTTGCTTGAGTTACTGAGCAGAGTGCCCATAACTCTACCTTATAGTCTCTCCACGTCCTCACATCCATGATATGTTAGGGCACTATGAACTATATAACTGTGGACTCTGAGGAGCACAGGGACTGACCTCCTGCTGGTGCCCAGAGTCAGGATTTCAGATGTATGCAACTACATTCTGAAAATGAGAGACAGTCTTCTACTCTGACAATGTTTAAATCCAGGTTAAAAACAGTTCTGTATTTTCAGACTTTTGAATGTACGGTGATATTTTATTTTAATGCCGTGTATAGGTTTCTTGTTTTTTTTTAGTTGCCTTTTATATGAACTGTGTTATGTGATGATTGTAACACTCACAGTACATAGGAATTCAAACAATCAATCTGCACTCTTTTTAATGAATGCGTCTTTTGGCACATGCTGTTGGATTAGTGCGTGCAATTGTTTTGTCTTGTGTAATTCTATAAAAAAGAACAACATGGATGGTCATAATGTCATGCCTGATTGCTGAAAGTGTAAATCCACAGGTTGGCTGCACAGCATATAAAAAGAGGTTCTCCATCTGAAAGAGAAGGAAAGAAAGAACTTCCTTGTAATTTGTATATTTTCAACAATCTTGACACCCATTTAATAACCAAGATGCATTCTTAGTCTCACTATGACAGTGCATTATGAGACTAGATCTAGAAATACGCCCCGCCATTCCTCACATGTCTGAGCGTCATCACAGATAGAAAGACAAACAGTCCAAACAGGGAAGGAAGAATGACACTGTGGGATAATGAAAACATTCGATCGGCTCATTCAGGCGCTCTTGGCTTCGATGGCAAATACATGGGGCGGAGCTGAATAGAGGACTAATGCATTCAAATTGAATCAGCCTTTGTGGTCAAAAAGACTTTGCCGATCATGGGGAAGTGGCTCTGATGAGTACAAATATAATATAGGACCAATCAATGAGCGGGCAAAGGATTCTGCCGATGAGGAGAACACTGGGTTGATTACCGGGTTATGGACCTGATTTATTTGATTGTGTTGCGTTAATTTTCTAGTTTAGAATCTCTCCCTTAGTAAAGATGTGTGAAGTAGTCCAAACAGAGCAGTTTCATTTCCCCAAAAAATAAATCCTGGGCCAGGCTGCAGCACAAACTGAAAGGATGTAAATGCTGCATCCACTAAAAGATGAATTGATGTCTAAAAACCACTAGAGAGGCGACCGACTGTGTGATATTTAAAAACGATCTACTTTGAACCCTTTGTTTGCCTGCTTCTATCTGGCCTGCTGCTGATCAGATGCATTGACACAGCAGGAGACTACCCCCCCCCCCCCCCCCCCCCCCCCCCCCCCCCCCCCCCACCCCCACCACCACCACACCCACTCCACTCCTCTCCTCTCTGTCCACTGGAGCATGGAGTCAGCCATTTCTCAGGCCGGCCCTTAGCCTAGCCCCAGTCCCCTATGCCTGGGACAGCTTGGTTACACCCAGGACAAACGAGCTGGAGGCCTGCCAGCTCCAACCAGGCGGAGAGCAGAGCTGCAGAGGAGGAGATGTGAGGGAGGAGAGGGAGGTCTTTTGGGGCAGGGTGTACTTAATAATCTGCTAATGGGCCTGCCATCAATTTCTAATTTTGGAAGAAAGGTGCTTATGAGTTAGTCTTCATTCATTGTCGCACAGAAATTAAAAAGAGTCAAAAAGATAACTTCTTTCCTTCCTCCTCGTTATTAATATTCAGAAACTTTTTAGACTTAATATTCTACCGTCAAAGTGCTAAATCACAGTGAAACCGATGGCATTACCCTGGGGAGATGAATCTATACATGTATCCTAAATATTGTATTCCTCTACTTTACTAAACTGACAGCAGATACATACAGGACTTTCACTGTAGTGGTACCACAAATGTGCCTCATACCACAGTTTGAGAACCGCCGTTATGTTCCACAAGTAATAAACAAAAACAAAACGCCCTCTAGAACCTGAATCATTTCTCACTGGCACACTAACAGAGCACATTGTTGAGTGCAATCTGTCCACATTAACACTGAAAAACAAAGCAAAAACTGTGTAAAATAGTTTTTCACGGTTTACTTCGGCAAAACAGACAAGATTCTTTGTTCTTTTCTGTTCTAAGCCTGTGACCTGCCAGAGACTACTGTAATCACTGAAGTCCCTTTTGCAATCCTGCTCTGAAGTTCTTGCAGGGAAAAACATATTACATTTTTCAAACCAATCCAACCACAATCATGATATAACCTATGTACTCTGCACACAGAAATAGCCAGGGAGATTTCAAAGCTATATATGCTCCCTGGAGGCAAAATGTTTCTATACCAAACCCAGGACACTACAGTTCTGTTCATGTGTAGAAAATGTATGAATCACAGGTTTATCACAGCAAATGGGCTCAGTCTGTGCATCCATATGGCACCACAGACACTGTAGAGGACAGACTGGGATATCTGTTGTGTCTATGGAAGGAGGACAATGGTCCTGTTAGGACAGCGTGCATTCAGTTAATATGCACTATTCAGAGTGAAGCAGATAATCATATATGTAAATACATGGGTGGGAATGAAATAATGCTTAATTTTTTATATACTGTATTTATATTGAACTGATGCTGCTTTCTGTTACAACAGTGCAACTTACCTGCAAGTAATAAGGGTAAACTTACATCAAGCTAAATTACTCTTGTCTTAAAGTTATTCCTGATCATTGCATGCATTATACATACTAAATGCAATTAGTTCAAACTTACTGTGGATTAGATCCGGCAAGGCTTTGATCCTCCTCCATCTTCCATTGGTGCTGAGCACTCAACAAAAACAACAGATGAAGAAAACATAAAACATTTCTGTACAAGCAAGTGCTCACCAGCAAGAGACAGCATGTGTACACCCACATTTAACATGAGCTCAAGATCTCAATAGATGGACATTTGTCATTAGATCTCCAACTCCTACTCATACTTGGATCTACTAGACTGATTATATATTTTTCTGTACTGGTCTGGGTAGTCCATGTGCCCCTGGACAGAGGGGACTACCTCGTGTTCTTTGAACAGTCACAAGGAGTCAGGGCACAGTGGGAACCTACTTTGCATGTATCTAACACAATCTAATCAACAAACAAGTCGTTGCCAAAATGCAAGCAGATAGTTCTGTACATACATATTCTTACATACCACCTTCAATATGAAGGTTATTATGGAAGTTAATAATCATAATTAGCAAGAAATAAACATATTTATATCCTCTGAATCTGGGCTGGTGCAGGCCCATCAGTTCATTCCACAGGTAGTGTTGAATTCAGACAAAGTGGGTGGATCTGGTTGTAGTGGCATGTACAAAGAATCAGATGATAAGACAAAAATAGAACTAAGCTCTGTCACCAGAAATTGAACAATACATTATTTGTAACAAGGTAACCATGAGGTGAACTGACTATGGTGCTTCACTATACATCCCTGTATTTCTCAACTTAGTCTTTCTGCTGATTGCTCCTTCTTCGTGGGCATAATTCTGAACAAGACAAAGGCCTCTTCATTGCACACATTGACGACAGTATGGACAACATCACAGGTCACACGTTGTTGGTTGTAAATGTCTCACATTTCTGGTTACTGTTTTACCATGGTCCACAGGTCCAGTCCAGATAGTATAGAGGTACAACATATCTTGTACCATACAATCTGGAAATATTTTGTTCCCTGTATTGATGCTGGAGATATGATATAAATGGAGATCCAAAACCACAGCAGCTTGTGTCTTTGTGAATGGAGAAACAGAAGCACATTGCACAGAGAACTTCCTGATTTACTTCCTGGTTTGGATTGGTGATAGCTGTGGTAGTGTAGACCCTGCTCTCCTATTGTAGACACGTGACAATTTAGATTAAGACAATAGTTTCGACTCTGGCGCGTTCCGACGAAGGGGGGGTCATTCGGAGGCTGCCGCAGTTGACGGTGGTCCTCCGGATGCTGCCCACTCCGTGGCACAGCGCCTCTTGTAGTCATGCCAACGTGGACGGGGACTGGCTCATCTGCACCCTCATGGTCTGCACGTTGCTCAGGATCTTCTTCTGATGGCCTGCCAGAGTTACACCTATCCGTAACAAATCTCTGCAATCAAACGGGTATGTAAACAGGTAAATAATTGAGGAATGCAACTTTAATATTGCAGACATTGTGATAATAATAATGCATCGGTTTTATAAAGCGCTTTTTTGGACACTCAAAAACGCTTTACATGTCATTATTCTTTCACTCCATATAAGGTGGTGATAACTACTACCCTAGCCATAGCTGCCCTGGGGCACACTGACAGAAGCAAGTAAGTAGTAAGTAAGTAAGTATTTATTTATATACCGCCTTTTCACTGCAGATCTGAGTCTCAAAGCGGTTTACAATTGTTAATTTTTGGGCAATTGTCTCTCACTCCACACAGAGATGGGAGCGCGGTCGCCATCACAGGAGGCGCATGCTAGAACTATTGGACATATTTTTAGTGGTAGGGGAAACCGGAGTACCCGGAGGAAACCTACGCAGACACGGGGAGAACATGCAAACTCCACTCAGAAAGGCCCTGGTCCGACCGGGATTCGAACCCAGGACCTTCTTGCTGAGAGGCGAGAGTGCTATCCACTCAGCCACCGTGCCGCCCGCAAGGCAACCAGTGTATGCCATCGGCCCCTCTGACCACCACCAACCACTCGCACACACACCAGGCTCATTCTAGGCAATGTGGGTCAAGACAAAAACAGTTTGGCACTTTACAGCCGCCCCAATGTGGCCCCTGGTGCTCCCAGAGGTCTTAGGGAAGGCTTAGCTTCAGAGGTCTGGCTTTCACAGGTGATCCTTTCATCATTTTATTCCAGCTCATGGGATGGGATGCATATTGCCTTAACAACAATATAATTTACTGCAGATAATTTACTTTAATTTATGAACTACTCTGTGGGGAACCATGATTCTAAAAAAATGACAGACTACATTTTGACCATGATTAAAATAAGATCTTATAATCATAATAAGAAAAGGCAGAAACATTTAGTACATGCAGTTGTGAACATGAATAAGATAAGATGTCATAAGATTTCTTTTGATTTGCTCACTTTCTGTACTCAGGCCTAAAATACAGCCACTTGACGCAGGGTTATTTGATCCAAGTACCAAATGTGCATGAAAGGCTGAGAGGTGTACTCACTCTGAGGTCATCTGGGCCACCAGCTGCAGAGACGTGAAGCCTGAGTTCAGGAAGTTATCTCGGTACTGGCTCATCTTAATGGCAGCGAGCCAGTCCTCCACCGAGCTGAATGTGTTGAAGTCAGGAATGGACCGATCCAACAGTGGCTGAGAAGGCCTGCCGTGAAAATAATATTAAAAGCGTTTTACAGAGCTTTGAAACATGGTAGATGTAGATACAAAGTCAACCTGTAATTAACAATGGTTTTGATAATGTGGCTGATTATTCTTTTAATTAATTGATTAGTTGTTTAGATCCCAAAAGGTCAATGAAAAAATTATTTTTGACAAATTCTAATGTTTGATTCAAATAACACAATATAAAAACATTTTAAAGTAACGATATGTAAGATTTTCAGTTATCATTAAATTACCCTAATCTGTATTGGCATTAAAAACTATGTTCTTTTTAAATACTTCTTTAACTGATAAAAATAGTTCAGCCGAGATATTCAAATTTCAAAATTAGTTTTACAACCCCTAAATCTTGTTTTTGTTTTATTGTTTTATTTTACCAATCAGAAAGTCTGATCCGGGTTGCCAGAACTCACCGCGTCAAGCTAATCTCACTGGTAAAATAACATGTGGCTGCAGAATTAAAATAGGTCTTGTTAGAATTCTCAAACCATTAATGACAAAACAAGGACTAAAACGAGGATTTCTATCGGGCTGTGAAAAAGGTGTAAAAGATTTGTTGTTGACAAAACTCTTTTCTATTCAGATATTACGATTAAGATATTATGGTCCCAGCTGGATTCGTCTGCATATCTGGCAACCTGAGTCAGGGAGAGTGGGAGAGGTTGCAGTACCACTTTTGGCCAGACTTTGACATATTGCAATAATTTCCATAGTTAAGATTGATCAAAAGAAAGTAAATAATTTAAAACAGGTGTAAACAAAGAGCCCTACAGCAGTGGCCTGAAGCCCAGAGTTACTCGAGGGGAAGTGTGAAAGGCCCAGTTAACCTGCATGGCCTTGTAATTGGAGAGTAAATCTGTGAAGAAAGCAAACATCCACATCCTATTTGGCTGCGACTAAGGAGCCTCCAAGGAAGACTGTGACAAGTTGTTTTTAATAAGGTTTGTACAGTTGAATAGGTAAACTTCATCCCACTGGAGTAATGAAACGTGTGCAAAGGAAACTAACCAAGAAACTCAACAAATTTGTTCAACTGCTTTTTACTACTACTACTGTTTTATTCATCAGGAATATTCTCTAAAACTACATCATATTTTTATCATATTATTTCTATAAAAAATAAGCACAGCCATGCATGTGGTAAGTACTGTAAGTAAAAAACTGAGTTGAGCAGGTCACATAAAACAGTTTGGGTTTGGGGTTCACTGAGGACAGAGGCAAAGTGTCCACTCACACTGCAGGAATGTTAGCAATAGCTTTGAGGCTGGTGGGGTTTCGAATCATCTTGTCCAGGGTGCTGACGATATCAGTGAAGCGAGGTCTAACATTACGGTCTTTCTGCCAACAGTCCAGCATCAGCTGGTGCAGAGCGCTGGGACAGTCCATGGGCGGGGGCAGCCGGTAGTCCTGCTCTATGGCATTGATTACCTACACATAAACAAATACAAGCAAATGGAGCTTTAGATATAACATGTTAATTATTCCAATTTATTATGAACAGCTGATAAACATGCCCTACTCTTACTGATTCTGAAAATAATGAAATGGTTATGGACATGAATAATAATTGCACAATGTTCCTCTGTAGAATATGTGATAGTGTGTGATAGTATGGAGGGATTTTAATTGTCTGTATTTGTTGACGTTGTAGACTGGCCATGGATATAGTGTATGCATAGATGTATTCACAGATAAACTTCAACCCTCAATCTAGTCTTAAAATGCCTCTCTGAAAGACTGCGGTGAATTCAAGCATATAAGATACTATCATTAAAAATTAGTGGCTTCCCTGCGGCCTGCCAGCTCCACCCCAGAGTTGAGTGCAAGTCAGCAGAATCTTGACAAATGGGGCATATGGGGGAGTGTGTATTTTATCATGTATGAATGCATGTGTGTCTGTGGGGCCTGAGCAGCCGGACACACTGAGGACTGCCAGCTCTCCTTTCTGCATCAGTCCCAGCAGGCAGATCACTGCTGGCCCACTGTGAACACATCTGCTGGGTTGGGCACTCTTCATGGACAGAGATCCGTGGAGGCCTGGCTCCTGTCTCGTTCAGGCAGTGCAGAGAGACCTTCGAGCTCCGGCCCATGTCCAATAGTTGTGTATGTTTGTGTTTGTGGAGTCTGCTTGTGGATGTTATCCAAACGGACACAAAGAACAAAGCAGAGCACTCAGCAATCATTCACTGCTCTCAAAGGCGGCCAGGAAGGAAAGGGGGACGTGCAGACAGTGGCCATAATAAGTGGGCTTTCAAAGTCAGAGTCAAGGACATCTCAGTGATGAAGCTCAGACACAAATCCGGGGTTTATAACTGATTCTCCACTTTAGCCATGTGTATCCGCGGAAACATCTTTCAGCTGCACTCATGATTTTAACATTCTCATTGTAATGTTCTGTACAATTGAGTGACTTGTATGATGACTTGCACTGTTCAAATGTGTCTGTACTCACATCCTGATTGGACATGTCCCAGTATGGCCGCTCTCCGAACGACATCACCTCCCACATGACGATGCCATAGCTCCACACATCGCTGGCTGAGGTGAACTTCCTGTATGCGATGGCCTCCGGTGCTGTCCATCTCACTGGAATCTTTCCTCCCTGAAGAAAAAAAAAACAACAACAAAACTTTTCAGGGCAAGACATATTTTTTAATCAAATGATCCACGCGGCTCCAGCCCCTCACATTAGCTGTCGGTTCCATTCATTCTCTGACAGACACAAAAAACATCGGCGCGCTCTGCATCCGTCTCCACATTGTTCGCCCTTCACACATCGACCACCATTACATTTACTGTCTGTTCTGCCACAGCCCCTTTTGAATAAAGAACGCCCGGGCCAGGCCTTTCTGCTTGTAGATCGAATGCGTCTTGCTGTAATTGGGCTACCTGAGCCTGAGGCAAGCCACGTGCCTACTTGATTGAAATTGACAGACGCTTGTTTAAAATTCCACGCACACACACACACACACACACACGCACATGCTACTGCTAGGTATGTAGGATCACTGGACATCAATGGTAGCCACATATAGAAAATCCCTGTTTATTTGCTCCATAGTGACCTAAAGAGATTATTTCTGGGGTGAGCTTGCTGCTGAAATAATCATGCCAATTAGTCGAAGCGGAGCATTTGCAGATAAGCCAGAGCTGGAAACACACCCAGAGTCCTCCAGCGGCCCACACAATGTGCTCCCAGCTCATTTCGAGAGAGCAGAGAGAGAGGGGTGGTTCACTGCAGGTCGGCTCTATACAAACACTTAGCACAACATTCCAGTGCTCTCCAATGACTTTGTGCCAGAGACTGCATCTGTTTGTCAGTGAAGTCTTGTAAAGCACTCAGACAAAGTTTGATAAAACGTATACAGCGTTCGGGGTTTGGTACAGGCCCCTTATCTTCTTCGGTGTACAGATAAATTTAAGTTTCTGGCTTTGGACTTTTTTAAAGTTTTTGGAAGGATACAAAATATGTTCCCTATGAATTCAAAACTACAGTAGTTGTCAGCAAATGGTATTCACATTTGCGATGGGCCTTGTTTGTGTGATTAAAGTTATTTTGAAGGTGCATAGTGTCATTGTAAGTGAAGTTATTATAAAACTGTTAAGCTACATTTTCACTGTTTACAATGGCAGAGCCATCTCGTTTACAAGCATGTTTTAAGGCTTAATTCCTGTTACACTTATGCTCCATGGGGATTTAGATTAAACTGCATAAAGGAAAATCTATTTCTTTGTCAGTTGTAGTTTGTTTTTAAATAGAAAAAAATAAATCGATTAAAATTGAAAATCGGATTTGGTGTGAAAAAATCGGAGATTTTTTTTTTTTTGCCATATCGCCCAGCCCTATCTTCTACTTCGGAGTCTGTCATAGACCGACTGCGCCACACAGCTGTTGTGAGATGTGTTATCCAGCGTATTATTACTAATAACTTGAAGCCTTGATATATGAGGTTTTACTAAAGTGAAACGTTTTTAATTGTATTTCATATGAAGTAGTTTCTCTATACTTAGTACAGGACTGCTCCACATCACGCACACACACGTACGCACACAGAGGCAGACGGGGACAGCCAATACAGTCTATGGTACAGCCGCGGATCACAAAGCACCTGTCAAAGCAATGCACTCTCCGAACTATATGAAGCACTATATGAACCGTCACGTGGTGCGGCCGCTACGCGAGGCTTCGAACGTCACCAACACACGCCTCGACCACGCTACAAAAAATACGCCCCTTTTTTACTCGGTACACGCTTCGAAGACCCGGCACGCTCAGTACATCACTATTGGTTTGTCTCTTTTTATTTGTCACTTTGGAGTTTTGTTTTTGTGACACTTCGCTTCTGTTGAGGCAACAGTCAGTTTAGTGTTTAGTTCTGGGTGGCTTTGTGTTTAGTGTTTAGTGTAGCTTTTATATTGGCAACGTTGAGTTACCCCGTTATGTCCTGTATTGTGTCCTTTTGATTTATGTCTCCTTATCGTTTCCATCCCTGTTATTAAATACTTGCTTTTCCATTTAACATCTTGGTTCTTTTTGTCACCTCCCTCACCCTAGCAGAGCTGGGTGGTAACAAGGGTAATAGTTGATGACGGGCCTCAAGAATTGGGGTTGATTTTGACCAATCAGGGCACTGCATGGCCAGGTTTAAAAGTTTCACTCTCTCTTCAGTTTGAGAAAGTATCTGACATCCACATTAAAATTTCACCTTTTATGTTTATGTCACAGTGAGGGTAATGTTATAAAACCTCTTGCATATTTTATCTTTGTCAGGTTGAGGCCCTGTAGTTTAATCATCGGATGAATGATTTACTGCAATTTTAAGTGTTGACAATCTGAGCACATGGAAAACTCAATTTCTTTTATTTTTTATTTTTATATTTATGGACATTTATCATCATTTATGGACATTGGGCATCTGCCCCTTATGAACCAATGGCTCTATGTGTTTGCATCATTGCCTTTCTTGTGTTGAACTGCTTGGTGAATTCAACTGTTTTTTTAAGTCCTTTGAGAAAACTACTGTTGTGATTTAGGGCCATACAAGAATCAATTGCATTGAATTATATACACGTAGGAAGAGGAGTAAAGCAGTCGCCAACATCTGGAGGGATCATTTGTAGGACGCTAGACTGAGTTTTGAGAATTCACTTTCCATAGCTTACGCGACGTTTACAAAAAGAGATACATGTGTGGATTTGTATCAAAGTAACCAACAAAAATCCTATTCAAATGCTGGCATATGTATTTGTATTTGCACACACATGACAAAATCAGATAAGGTCAATCATAGAACTTTCGACAGTGTTGAAAAATGTCAGTCACTCTCCGTTGAATGAAAAACTCTGAGTGGAGCTTCCCCCAGACAAGTCCTCCCTCACTATCTGACAGAGTCCACCTGTTTGTGAGGTTGACAGGCCGCGTCACCACGGAGACGGGACACTTTTTTTGTCAGGTTAAGAGGTTTCATAGTGAGACAATCGTATGTGTGTTTGACAAGTGACTGTGAGAGGTAAAGGATAAACATGGAGGGTGTAATGTTTGCTGTGACTGCTGTCTGTTTGGGTCCCCTGGTCAAGAGACACCTGCCATGTCCCTGCACCCACGGGAGACGGATCAGAGAAGCTATGAAACGTTTTAAAAAGGAAGGGAACTGGGATGGATGTCAAATAGTTTTTATGTGGATTCTCTCTTACTATAATGCGTATTAAAAGCCGGGATACCAATATTTTTTTTGCCATAAATTTTCCATGTTGCTTTTCACAGCAAGAGCCTTATAAATGTTAAATGTCGTGACCACAACACGTGCCCTCTTCATCTGTTCTCACTATTTGATACTTTTTTTTTTCCCCTTTTCTCCCTGAAAAAGTTTAAGCTAAAGGTGTGACAGAGGCCCATAAATGGCATGGGGAATGTTTTGAATTCAAGCAGCCAGTTGATAGAATACATGTTTTTGTTGCTGGAAAGTTAAGTGCCCCAGCTTTAGTTGTGAATAAAAAAGGATTTGAATGGCGGCTAACAGGTACGGTAAAAACCACAACCAAGCAATACAAGAAAGATGTGATAAAATGCAAAAAAATACAGTTATATACGCACTTTTGTTCCGGGTAATTCTGTTATTTACTTCCCCGCGGTATACCAGAATAAGATCACTTGGCTTTCACAGAGATATTGAATAAAAATATTGAATAAAAATATGCAGATCTCACTTTCAGTCAATCTTTCCTCTATGGCCCTCCCCATCTTACTCCTCCGGCTCCAGTAATCCATTTCCAAACAACACTTGCGCAAATGGACTTGAGCACATTTACTTTAGGCTGGAGAGAGTGCTCCATCAACATCCTTTTAATGAAATCCTGAGTGCAACGATCTGCTCTGGATGTCTGCCCAAACAGAATGGAGAAAGACACGAGAAGAAAGAGGAGAGGAGTGACAAAGGGATACAAAGAAGAAAATAAACCAGCGGGGGAAAAAAGAAAAAAATAACGATTTGGTGACATACGAAGGCCCATGGGAATGTCTGGGATTGAAAACACCTATGCATCTATATTAAACAGTCAGTCAGGCAACAAGTGAGCTTTGTGCTTTATGAGAAAAAAAGTTCATCATGCAATTGAGAAAAAACAAGTGACGTCATCCATAGCGTTTGCCGAATGCGGAGGAAACCGATTTAAATATAATCTCAATGGAGGCAATTTCCTTATATGGGCATTTGTTACGACAGGATTATCTTTGCAGTGATAAGGTTAGATGGAGTTTTCCCCCGCAAATGAAGGCATCTTATTGGTCAATCCTTGGATTTCATATCTGGATTTACAAAGACAGATTTTTTTAAGCCCAAAAATTTTATTGTGACACAAACAGTGAGCTAGAGGAATTTTCTTTTCAATGTAAGACAATTGGAGCGAGAGTGAGTTGAAGAAACACTTTGTCTTGGGATTCATTGAGCTAGAAAGTTACATTTGTCCTTCTCCAGTCTATGTGAACACCCAGGTCCAGGACAATCAAGAAAAAATGTGCTTATATTTTCATATCATATATGAGTAAGTATCATATCTACTCCTATATCATGGGGTTGGGTGGAGTTATCTTGGGTGACATAATACACAATATATTTATTTTTTACAGTTGACATTGTATTTGACCCATTGCTGCAATTCTGAGCACCATTTTTTCCCCAAACAGAGCACAAGTCAGAATGAAAAATGTTTTCCTTTCATGTATTTTGAGAACTAAGATGTGGTGGAATTACTCAAAACCAAGATTTCCGTCAAGGACTTCGAAGCTGAGGCACCTAAACTTTGGTCTGGTCATTTCCCAAACTGTTTTAAGTGTGATATCATTTTTTTAATATAACTGGTTCCACCAGATGCAGTTTAAAATGAAAGAACTCCAGCTTTTAGCCATAGAAGTAATGTATGTTGGAGAAGAAAATTCCAAATGATGAAAGCTCCAAAAGTTCAATTGTTTATCAAATTTAAAAAGTCTCACAAAACTATTCTGACTACTATCCTTTTCTGTAACAATAATATAATTGTAGCAAGCAAAAAAAGACACCTTTGCCGTTACCGGATACCGTTGCCCCTGTGAAGGTTAAAATAGTG